ATTTGCGTGTGATTATCGACCTTTCGCAAACGTCGACATTTTTACGACTTTCTTGCCGCACTGTACATATGACGGCACTTTCAGCCACCAAACCTTGTCCAATTTATAATTGTTTGTTGTCTCATACAGCCCGTCCCTTCGTGTAATTGTCGACAGAATGCCTGGTTAAATGACCCAAAATTAAAAAATACATTTTAACTAGAAGGCCGGTAAATGATTTATGGGCCATTTCTATGTGGAATTAGTTGTTCATTCACAGTGTACCTTTAAGTTGTCAGGCAACTCCTGTCGACCGGCGTAACCCGGATTCATGGTGATGAACATGGTGCAGGTAGGATTCAGGGATAGCTCGGTTCCCTCAAAAACAAAGCGCTTCAGCCCTTGTGCAATAGCAATCTGAATGCAGAGAATTTGCTGGGCCACCACAGATAACACCTCCAGCTCGATTCGATTGAATTCGTCGAAGCAGGCCCAAGCACCAGCCTGAGCCAGACCCTTGAAGAACTTGCCCATTGCCCTGTAGTCCAGACCATCGGAACAGTTGAAGACGACACACTGCTTGGCGACAGCCTTGGCCAGATCCTGTGACGAATACAAAGAGATAAGGTCTAAGTCAGTAACATTGACAGTCTCCATGCAGTTCAAAGTACTCAAGTCAAAATCGTGACCGTTTAGTCCGTTAAGAATGTGTTTGTAGAGTTTGGATTTATTTATCTATTTACCAATCTTGGTGAACGTCGCAATTCCATTATGTGATTGCGTACTATGATCGCGTAGATGAGAAAGGAGCGGTTTGTTTTGCTAATGATAAGTCAGCCAACGAGAAATTGCACCTTCGGCTCCTTACGTAAACTAATCGTTAAACAAAGATATGAGAACCCAATTATTTGTAAACAATGATTTCTTATTTAAGTCGAATAAACCCAATAATAAAAATAAATTTTTTAGACACAAACCACAGCAATATGAAAGGAGGAAGGAGGAATGTACAACATGGAGCAGACTGGCTGCGTATTTTTCCTCTTTTTTGGGCTGTATAAAAATATAACTGCTTTTAATAAAATTGCAAGTTCTTAGCAGAACTTAGTGAGCTTTATTTGTGATCTAAGTCTCACAATTAGCAAACTTTCTGATCTTTGCCTGAGTATCCGTAAACCTTAAAATACAAGTTTTAACAATTGTAGAAAACCTAAAATGAGAGCCTCAAATAGGGGTTAGTATTGTATGGTTAAGAAAATTAGTCATTGCTCTTTCTAAAAAATCGACATCATCCTAGAGAGTATATAAGTGCCCGGATAGGCTTAAAGTCATTCTCACAAGATATTTTCAATTGGTTTCACGAACGCAGGGATTGGATGGAAGCTTTGTGCTAACAATAGAACGAAGTAAATCGAAACATCGTCCAATAAGTTTACTCTGCCCAGCCCATCGTCTAAACTTTGTGTAAGAATGTACAACGGTTAAGCAAGCGCAATGTTTGTGTCTAGGTACGCGAATAGAATTACTTTTGTCGGTTACTGACAGCGGGCGTTTGTAGCCTCCGGCAAAGGCTTTCTCTGATGCGCGGGTTCAAATCCCGCCAAAC